CACCAAAAAAAAAAAGTAAGAGGATTCTAATTAAATTAGATGCGTGTTAATATTACATAAGTGATGTGCGGCTATCAGTATATTAATTAATAATATATGTGTATCACTCTAATGGGGAATTAAGTCTTGTCGTATAAAGTTGCCTCCATTCACGGAAGGCATGGCATCTCTAGGTCCCATCTACCATAGCTTCTATATTCTTGGTTATTATATATGAGTACAAAAAAAACCAACCCATGTTGTAGTTTTATTTACTAAAAATATGTTTTTCATGTTGCATTGAGATAAAATTATCTCATACAACACACATAAAAATAAACGAAACCTGAGAAGAAAAGAGAGAAAGAAAAAAGTGAGTCTCATTCATTTTTTATATATGTATAAGATAAAATTTTCTAATATAACATAAAAAGGACAGGATCCGTTTACAAACTTTTTTTGCAATTACACTAATGTAGGACTGGTCGTATACTGTGTGATTAATGTAGGATCGGTCCTACATAGTGTAGTTTGTAAACAAAAAAATTTGTAAATATAACCTGCCCCAACATAAAATACATATTTTCCTTTATTTATATCACTTTTCTATTGTGCCAACTTAGTCTTAGCTTAAGTAGTCATGAAGTCGCAGCGTTTCAAACCGCTTAAAGAGGATAAATATGATACATGGAAATAATTTAAAAATCCATGGATTGAAATACATTCATGCATAAGTTTGCACTCATTAAAATTGAATTAAATTTGATTTGATTTCAAAACCAGTTCTCCTTTTTTAAACTTATCAAAATAAGATTATAATTTATTTCTAAATTAGCTTTTATGTTTGAAATTTTGAATACTTTAAAAATGAATATAATTTATTTTATATTAATAATTTCACTTTCTTAGCATTTATTAGAATACGTAAAGTAGATAAATTTGTACCAAAAAAAAAAAGTAGATAAATAAATAAGGATAAAATTGTCAATTCAAGCATTTAAAACTAAACACAAATACACTGACAACCAGACAAATTTATGTGAATTTCTAAACACACAAAACTTAAATTAAGAATTTTCGTATACCAAAAAAAATATTTAGGAATTTTCAAATTATAATTTATTTATACTTTAACCCTTTTCAAATAATGTATTCATTTATAAATTAAATCAATTCATAAAATTAATGACGCCAAACATACTGAAAAATGCATTAACTAAATACATTTATGAGATGTATTAAAAAAAAATACATTTATGAGAATTTATATTACAAATAATAGCGTTAGTATCAAAATCTATTGATCGCAAACTCGAAAAGAACACTAACTTATAAACTAAACATATCAAGAATAAATTTAGTGAAAAATTGAAAGTGACTCATTGCAGTAAAAATCGGTGAAATTTCTCAGAAGGAATTATAAACTAATTAACATCGACAATCAGGGGTTGGCTCAAGTAGCACATATATACTTGATTCTGCTTAAATAATATCTTGGTTCAAATTTTTATGAATGCAAAAACTCTTTTTTGGGAGAGCTAGTCTCACTATAATATTGGGTTGAATCTTTACCTCATATGATATTAAAGTCTTATATTTATCATCCTTGTTCAATTAATAAATAAATAAATATTGTATAATTTCTTTAAATAAATAGATGGGTTGTGTATTGTGCCATTGATTTATAGTTACAGACTAGAAAATTAGTGGTATGCAATTTTTTTTCATCTAATTTGTCATAAAGCACTATTTTTTTACTATTAGTTTTTCAGACGAACTTAACATTTTAAAATCTTTTTGGCCAAAAATCATAGGCAGAATCAGGCAAATTTGGTTGAATACGATCAAAGAACGTGATTATAATTGGTAAAATAAAAACCCAATCATCTAAAATATGAATTTTAAGAATTGGTGATTTTTGCAACCAGTTAGAAAGCAACCTATTATATCAAATGATAGTTGCTCAGTTGGCGTCAGCTAACTGAGTATGTGAGGAATGAGAGCATGTATTTGATCTTTCCTGGTATCATTTTTAAGAAGGGTTTAAAGTCTTAATTTTGAGATTCGCTCCAAATCAGACTAGTCGTAAAGTAATGAACCCCATTCTAATATCTCCTAAAAATAAAAACAACCTATTACATGAAGCAAAGCCCTAGCCAACAACTCCCTTTAGTGACTAGATGGATCATAGCCCTTCTTTTAAAAGGAGAGGCTAACATGGAAAGATATTTACATCCATGAAGGATGCTGATACGATCAAGTATCTTGTTTTGTTAAATATAGGACTAGGATTTTGGCTTTTTCTATGGGACATTCACATGGCTTGTTCTATACATGTGCTGCTAGAGGAAGCTTTCCATCTAATGTGGAGCCAACTCCTTTATGATTCTCAATATGTTACATGGGATTAAAGAAGCATATTTAGAAAGTTTGCTGTTTTGAAGCTAAGCATATGTTCTCCAAATAACTTTATTGCACAAACAAATATGGGCAAAATCCCGAAAGTAATGGGTAATGTTGACATGGCTTATCATGAAAGTTCAATATGGGAAATTTTGTTTTGGAAGTTGAGAATTTAAATTGTCTGAGCTGGAAGTTATGGTGAGTGATTGAAACAAGTTTTGGTGCCACCTCATTGTCTACGTCATTATCCTCAATTAATTTTATGTGTGTGCTCATGTTACTGAAATTAAAATAATGAATAGGATATAATTTTAGTTTATTTTTTTTAATTTTTTTAGCAGACCATCAATTATCGGATTAGGGATGGACAAACTCCATCCATAATTCCCTCCCCGTTGGGGATAGATTTAACTCCTTTTGAAACTGTTTTTCTTGATCATATTAGGGACGAAAAATATGTTAAATATAGAATTATTCCATCGCAAATAGAGACAAAATTTTATTTTCGTCCCAAATCATTAGCCAGAAGCTTTTTAGGGAGAGAATTTTTTTCATCCCTAATAATTTTAGGGACATAATTTTTAAGGACGGAATTTATCTGTCCCTAGTCATTTATTTTAGTAGTATATTTGGTATCAAGACTTGAATTTAAAACAGCTGATTAAGCTTATATTATCAAGAGTACTGACACATTGTGTGACAATATCTTAATTAAAAGTCATAACATGAAAATAAAAAATTAATAAAACAGGGTCTTAATTATAATTGTGGGTTCTAAAAAATATATTTATCTCCTATTATAAAACCCAGGGGATTCATTGGAAAAAAGAAGACTCTCTTATATTTTCTCTAAAGGAGAAGCCCCCATCAAAATCTATGTCATGATAAGGCAAAATTAATAAAATTTCGGTAAAAGAATAGTGTAGCATCACAGTCACAGGACCACGTGGCACGAGGAGGAAATGGCAAATTGAAGAAGAGTCACGACCATGGTGTTGGATTAAAGAGAATGTGTGCCCTAAAGGCCTACAACTTTGATAGCTCAACTTTGATTTGGTTGGGTGGGATAGGGTGTTGGGATCTAGCTCTACTTTTATTCACTCTTAATTTGTTGTGCTTGTTCCTCCATGGACATTTCCTTATAATCTTCCAGAAAATTCTATTGGCTTGAACCTAGAACTCTCAAATAATTGATCAACACACACACACATATATATATACATACAAGACAAATGCATAATTTGTAACCCACATCTAAAAGTCTGTGTTACTCTGGTATTTGAAAATGCTTAGTGCTATTGGTATTCTTCTCTAAATCCTGCTTGGGAAAGATCATGCTATAATTTACATGAATCCTTAACCACGAGGGAAATGCCGATATTAAGCACAATAATATGTAAATATAAGCTACCTAACCCATTCCCTATATATCGGGAAGGAAAGTTGCAAAAGGATATGTATGGTTCGTAAAGTCATTTTCAAAACGATTTATTTCAACGCAAGGATTTCGTTGGAAGGAAGAAAAAGTTTATTATTCCTTGTTATCATCCAATGCTTCCCCACGCAAATTATAAAAATATAATTTGAAGGGTGGCGATTTGAATAGTCAACACTAGTTAGGCAAACAAATAAACTCTTTTACCGAAAGTAACGATTAGCATATATAGACAGTTAGGCAGCACATATACATAAATTAAACAAGAACAAATGCTTGGAAAACCTCTCCCATACACATGATGAATGTCCTAAGGAAAATCAACAATGTTATTTTCCACACCCAACGACCTGAATTAATTGTGATATATAAGTTCCTTTCATCTTTGGTCCCCCCAACGACGCATTTGATATACTTCCTCACAAACCATAGGAAAAGCTTTTTCTTTTCTTTTTTCCAAAAGAGCATATTATTCACTTAAGTCTACTATGCTACGAGCATCCTCCTTTCTACCTAAAAAGAAAATTTGTATTCCACAACCACATTCAAGTCCAAATTATATTTCTCCACAATCCATGATCATATAAATTTGTTATGATAGTAAATTGAACCTCATTAGTCTGTGGCCAGTAAATATGTTATATATATATATATGACTTTGTATAAACTAAACAACTATTAAGACTGTGTGAATGTAGAAATTTATATATCACTCTCTTGACTTTTTTGTGTTAGCTAGAATAAGTCTTTCTCAAAACAAAACAAAGATTCTCTAAGTGGGGTTACAATACTCTGGACTCCGCAAATGGTTAAGGGAATCGGTATTCCCCCCCAATCCGAATAAGACCAAAGCAAATGAATTGCTTCAAATGAATACTAAGCAGAGGGCTCTCCCCCACTGGGTCCCACCTTAGCTGTACTCACATCCAAACATCCCTATTCTTGGTAGTCTTTATCTCCGCCATAAAGTGTTTATTACATATATGTGCTTAATATATAAATAATAATAATAATTAATAATAATAAACCTTACCCATCATTTCATATTTCACCTTATGTATATATATGCATACCCTATTCTCCCCTCCTCATATCTCATTGTACACATATATATCTACACTACCCAAAAACACACGCACACACACTATTCTCTTTCCTTCTTCAATTCCTCTTGTTCTTCTTTCTTGTAATCTATATAAGAATGTCTGGGGTTTGGGTTTTCAGGAACGGGGTGGTCCGGCTAGTGGAGAATCCGGGGGCGGAGGCAGTAGACGGTGGCCGGGGTGGAAGGCGCAGGGTGCTAGTTCACACGGCAAGTAATGAAGTGATAACCTCATACGCGGTGCTAGAGCACAAGCTGAGCTCACTGGGGTGGGAGCGTTACTACGATGACCCTGACCTTCTTCAATTCCACAAACGCTCCACCGTGCACCTTATCTCTCTCCCAAGGGATTTCAACAAGTTCAAATCCATGCATATGTATGATATAGTCGTCAAGAACAGGAACTCCTTCGAAGTCAGGGACATGTAGGTATATATATATATATACACACATATATATATAACCAACAACCCTCTGCATGTGTCTCACTAATTCTTGGAGAGTAATTTCTTTAATTTGGTTTTTCTAATTTATGTAAAAGTGTGTTTATGTTAGTTTGACTTTTAGATTAGTGGCCATGGGGATTGGTGTCTATGTCTAAATGATTATGGTTACATTAATTAGTGTATTTTGTAGATGAATTTGTGTCTGATGTCATTTGTAGGTGTGTGATTATGTAAATCATTTTAGTCATTCTATTCGAAGGTTGAGCTTTACTTAGACTTAATTTGTGTGCTAAATATTCACATTGTGTACTTTTACTTTCATTAGAAAATTTGAGTTATATATATATATATGTAACTCATTTCCTTCTGTATAAATCGCATTCTATTTAATTACTTGAATCTCTTCTTATTTACTTGATTCTTTTGGCTTTTTCTACGACGAACTCAACTGTACATGAGAAATTTGATTTTCCGGTACATGTATGGGTTCTCTCTTCTTCTTCTTTTTTTATTTTTTTAATCAAGTTTTATGTGACTTTTGTTCCAAGTTCATGTCATGCGTGATCGAAGACGAGAATTGACAATTAAAATTGATCCGACATAACAATACTTTATATTCTTTGATGTTATCTTTTCTAAATCAAATTATTTTAATTTTTTTCTTTTTGAATAAAAAATAATATTTAAAGATTTCCTATTTTAAATTTCTTAAAAAAATGTGCAAAACTATATAATGTTTTATGTATATAAATAGCATTTCCTTATTTCGTAAAAATTTTGTAGCGCGAAAGCAAACCTACGGGTATGTTTAATGATAAATGATTATTTATTTGAATAAAATCAATTATGTAAATTTTACATATATAGGTACAACATTTATTATATCTTAGTTTATGTTAGAAAAATAATCTATTTTATTAGAAATTTTATTTTAAACATTGTGTGTGTGTCTATATATATATATATATATATGTATATATTCAACTCAACGACAATCATGAATAAAACGACAGCACATTCTGTTTTGAAATTGCAAGTAGCAAAACATTATCGGGAGATTCGAATTCCACATCTTCACTCGAAATAGCATATTTCCATATATAGATAAAAGACAATTCATCATTAAAATTATTAAATTGTATTACACAAGTATTTAGAGATGAATTTAAATGCATCAAGCAAGCTTTTGGCTTGATATAACTCACTTGGAAGGATATATTTAATTGTAAAAAAAAAAACACACAAGTGTATTTATTTTTATTTTTTTTGGTATGCTCAAGTGTATTTATTTTTATTTTATTTTTATTTTTTTGGTATCCAGTGTATTTATTTTTTACGTGTGCGTTCCATGGTTATTTCAAATTAATTTTATATCTATGATATGAGTTTTTTTTATTAATAGTTAAATAAATAATGCATGTTTAGATGAGTATTTTAACTTAAAAATAGACTTATATAATCAAAATAGATGAAAGATAGTTTTTGAAAAGGATTTTTTGTATACTAAAATAAAGTAATCCAAATACACAATTATAATTTTATATAATATTGAAAAAAATGCATTTAAAATTAATAAATTGTATGTAACTACATTTGGGGTGAACTTATCATTTAAGTTTATAATTATAATTCAATATTTATTCGTAATTTTTTTTTGGAATAATATTAATTCGTAAGTTTTTTTTTTGGAATAATTTTTATTCGCAAGTTGTATAAATAAAGTATAAATAAGAAACTTATGTTGTTTTAATAAGTTAAATCGCTTTTTTTATGAGATGACAAGTCATTTTTAATCATGGCCCTTTATTTTTTATAAAAATTAATTAATATTTTTCTTAATCTTAAATAATTTTTTTCTAAAGTTATGGATGCACTAAGTCATAAATAAAATACCTAAAACTAATGGGAAAAAAATACTTTCGAATTAATTTTTTTACATTTGATCAATAGATATTTTTCATTTTACAAATCTCAAGACAATTTTAATATTAAATATATAGATATAAATATAGATAGATAGTTACATTACTTTGTAGCTTTTTGTTAAAAATATAATTTATATAACATTAATTACCCATTTAAATAAAAGGTTTAGTCAGAATCGTCTAAAGGCATATATTGGATTGAGATTTCAAATGATTTTAATGGATTATTTTTAGATAAAAAAATTCATTCGTATTCAATTAAAATTTTAAAGGATTGAAAAAAAGTCACATGGTATTCGATTAAGATTTTAAAAGATTATTTTAGAGTCTGTCCAAATCTGTTGGTATTCAATCAGGATTTTAAACAAAGGAAAAACAATCTTGTGTTATTAAAAAATCTAACAATTTTTATGGATTCTTTATTCGTGTGATTTCGTGAGACTTTTTAGTGAGAAATATAAATAGGATGTCTCTCTCACAATTTCACCCTAACCCCTAAGATTTCTTGAGATTTATCTATTACAGTGTCTTCTTCTTCCTTTGGCGGGTTAACCCGCTCAAAACCGGGTTCCGCCATGGGAGCTTCATCAAAGCTAGGGGTGTTCGCTGTTTGGATTAGATCAGTTATGAAAACAAAAATCATCTGATCCAATACCTTTGATTTGATCATATAATCATTCATTCGGTTTGGATTTTTTTTCAAATCCAATCCAATTTTATTCTGTTTGGATTGGATTGATTTTTGATATTTTGAAAAGCATAAAACTTGTATGATGATTATCGTGCAAATAACATATCTCTTATATGTGTTGGCTTTGTAAAGTTTGTATTATGATTATTGTGCAATCTAGAAGCATCAGTAAATGATAATCTAATTTCAGTATAGTACAACAAAAAGTTGAATTACCATATTTTACCTCCAACAAAAAATTTACAATATGGTTGCTTAAGATACGGAGTAACCGAAATTTTCATCTTATAGAGGAGTTACTGTACAACAATAACTCATGCAATAAAAATATATGATGTATCTTACCCAAAAATATATATATATATAACATAGATGAAGCACAACCCACTTTCTTCAATTTGATGGGTTAATGGGTTTAGAATTTTGCTATATGATTTTTGGGCTATGATTGTGGAAAGACCTAAGTAGATAGAGGGTAGGGTTGGGGAATCATTGAATTAGTTTGAATTGGATCGGTTTTTACCAACCAAATTGGTAACCGATCCAATCCAATTAAATTTTACGGATTTTTTTTCGATTTTTGATTTTTTCGATTTTCGGTTATCTATTTCTTGATTCGGTCACCGCTGTTTGAATCAATTGATGAACACCCCTAGTCAAAGCTCAAAAACAACATATTTGAGCGATTTTCATCATAAAACAACCCAGAAACAACAAAACAACAATATTCTAATATAATTTATCTCAAAAACAGCAATTTCTAGCGATTTTTGAGAGCTTTTAGAAGTTTAAACAATGATTTTCAAGCTATGGGTCACGATTTTTCTTTACATAAAAAGGTGTGACTTTTGTATTAAAAACAATATAAAAGAGTGGGAAAACAAAAAGAGAACTAAAATCCTCAAATCAATTTTCGTTTTGCATCAATAAAACAATATCAATTTAAAGAAAGATTGAAACTTTCATAATCTAAACCCTATATTTCGTAACAATACATTCATGAATGAAATTCCTTCGCTATATTCAAACAATTTTTTTGTCAATAGATAACTGAAAACTTGTTTTTCAAAAGTCCCAAAGCAATTTAAGGTTTCAATGTATCGATTGAAAAAAATTTGAGAGATTTTCTAAATTTTCATGTAATAAACCCAGAAATTTAGATTCGAAATTTTCTTAGAATAATCAATGAAAATATGCATATGATATATGGTTAAAAAACTATCATCACGTAGAACAAAAACCCCCAAGGTTTCAAAGATCAATTGCAAAAAATTCCAAACGAAATTTTATCATGAACTTTAGGTTCTATATGCAAATTTAAAATTATTTTAATAAATAAAAAAATGAGTTTTATAATCATATATGCATAGCTTTGATACCAAATGAAGAAGATAATTTTTAACTTATTGGTCAAACCCAAGAGCAGGAATGAGGAAATGCTAATGCATGGAGGACTCTTTAGACATATGTGGAAAGCTGTTGCTTAACAATTTTAAATGTTTGTTAAAAATTATATTATGCTTTCTGATTGAGAAAATTATATTAAGTTTTACTTTTTTATTAATATCATTGTATTTCTTTATTATTTTTTATTGATTCTTGTAATTTTGAATGTTTGTTAAAAATTCATGTAGTTTTTTAAATATTGTAAATTCATATTGCCCTTTCAAATTTATAGATTCTATTAAAATCCAATCTTATGAAATCTTGATAGTAAAAAAAATCTTTTAGGTAGTGTTTGGTTGAAGGTTTATTTTAGGATTGATGGGAAAGTGTAGGTGGATATTGGAAAATACCACGTTTGGTTCAGGTTTTTTCAAGAAATACCAGACAAATAGGATAGATGGGAAAATGACTTTTGTGTTGATTTTTGGATGAAATTCACTGTTACAGAATACCACTTGAGATGTGGTATTTTGAGATGACTGAGGAAGTGAAAAAACAGGTGCAAAGTTTCTCCCGAACATAGATTTTGCATATTTAAATAAATTTTCCTGGTAATATTTGGGTCAACCAAACAACTTTTTTTACATTTTCCTATCAAACTCATTTTCCAACCATTTTCCTATCAATTACATTTCCCTAGTAAAAAAAAATTTCTCTCAAACCAAACACTACCTTAAGAAAATCTTTAAAGTCTCTTCTATTGGGCAAGTGGCTTCTTTAAGTATGCAGATTTATTTCTCAGAAAAATAAATCTTGACCCAAATCGGTTGAGCTAGTTACTTGATGTCCACCACTTTTTGCCCCAAATAGATTTCCTCAAAACCAAAAGTTACTTGATGAAGATGCAAGAGGGAAGAAGATGAATTTCTTGGAAATTTCTTTCTCTGTACTTCGATGATAAAGCGAACGAAAGGGAATCGATGTATATTGGCAAAACTAACGCTTTTCTTTCAGAAGATGAAAATAGTTAAGAAATCAAGATGAGTGGGTATTGTCAAATCGGTTATAGAAAAGGAAAAATGTGCTCTGCATTCAGGATGAAGAATAGCGATTTTTCAAGGTAATGAGCTCAGTCTATTTTCAAAGAAGATTTTGCAAGGATGATAACGAGAGGCGAAG